TTTTTTTTGTTCTACAAGAAGGGATAATTAAAAAACATCACATCATTACCTCAATAGCTCTTCAACAATTCTACCATTTAGCATTATATCAAAAAGTTCGCATACACTAATGCTGAAGCCTCCGATCTGTGGGACGCGCTGAACGAGGTTGTTGGCAGTATCCAGGGTTCTCCCAATAGCATGAAAGTTGGCGACTTTGCAGATCAGTGGACTGCACAGGTGCGGTAAAATCTCATTTATTCTGGAGATAAACTTTGTTTGTACTCAGATGGGATTCCCGCTTGTAACTGTGCAAACTTTCAACAGCACTCATGTCAAGATTACACAAGAACGTTACAAGAAGAATCCTAACGCTGGGGATCCGGAAAAATATGCGAATCCCAAATATGGGTCTGCTCATTTGAATATTTCCACACATTAGTTTACTTTCCAATCGAGTGATAATTCCAGATTTAAATGGGATATTCCCATTTGGTATCAGGAAGCCGATTTAGCAATACAATTAGACTGGCTAAGAAGAGGTAAATGCAAGCGATAAAGCAATGTTTCAGCTTTCAGTTTACATCGCTCAAAAAAAGATTTTCTCCAGCAAAAATTCAAAAAAGTATAAATGGACAAAAATGATCATGGTCTGAAATGTGAATAGAAATGGCCTTGTAACAGCATCATTCCACTGTTTCTTTTTCGAAGATCACTTTTTATCCAAAGACACAAAGAAACGAGCAAATTACCTAATGATTAATAAACTATCCATCGCTTGTTGTGACTGAAAAAACTTTGATCAGTTGGCCAATTTTACAGGACTTCTCTATTCCAACTTCCTAATTCCTACTTAAGAATGTTTTTTTTTTGCAAATATCAATATGAGCGTCAAACTGTGCAGAGTTACAGAGAATTTTTTGGCTATTTTTGATTGAGTTATTTTACACCAAAGTAATTTTTATTCACTTGCGTATAAATTGAACCGATAGGAGTATTCACTTAAATAACTTGTGCTGTTACCTAATTTTATGTTATGTGAACAAAGTAGCTCCACGGTGTTAAATAGAGTTAGAACCGCGCTAGAAATGACTGTCAAATAGAATGTGAACCCAATAGCAAATTAACATCAGCACGGCTTTCGCAGGAGACAACTTGTAACACAAATAAAGCTGTTCAAAGTTCTTCATAATTATAATCGCACTTGTTTGTCTTCGAGTTATATAAGATCACTATTATCAACTTTTATATAACATATACCATGTACTTAAGATCTGTCTTATCTGAAAATACTTTTATTTCTGCTTTGCCTAAGGAAGCGATGAAAGTTGTGATGTTATAGAAATTGGCTGTCCATGAACTCAATCGCAGTAATTTAGCTGATTCTATGCTAATAGACCATAAACCATACTAGTTGTATCATATCTAGTTGTGACATTCAGTCAGTCATCGCAAATAAAGCGCATCGGAGGTCAAATTCGCTGCAGACAGACTAGTGTTGTCTGTGCTCTAAACTGAGAATTGGTACTGTGCGCAGAAAATGGCTTTGGGTAAAACCTTGCGATGTTTGTTTTTGTGAGCATTTTGCTTTCGGTGAAGGACATTTTGACAGCAGAATGGCTATATCTGCTCTTGTCGTTTTTCTCTGCAGTTTCCATTTAGGAAGCTTAAATCGGTAAGGGATGTGATATATATTGAGAAGCCAAATGGATAAAAACAAAATAAAATAAGGCTAGGTAACCGCTGCCCTGCCATATTCGTTTTGCGTTTGAAAAATCTTTAGCGAAAGCGAAAAGTTTCGATGGGCAACCAGTTGCATCTTGCGGGGTCTTACCTTTTTTACCATTTAGCTTCATCAGCTACGAGCGGTTTATGCTTAACTGCAGAGTCGCAACACATTTCTTGTATATGGAGAGAGCTGGAAATTCTGAATTGTGCGCAGTTACTTAAGCGCTAACCTTAGCTCAACAACTTCTTTACTTAAAAGCTTGTAAGGCTCCAGGAGCAGCCAAACTACCGTATACGACTCGACATGGATAGACAATTTGTGCAGTAATGCAATTTTATAATTCTGCTGTAGCTAATTTGAACAAAAATTTATCCAATAAA